AGCCGCGAAGCTGCGCAAAAGGTGCGAAAAGTTTCCCCCGAGTTGCGAGGCACGAGGAACGTGGTGGAACATGGTACGAGTAGACGCGGGCGCAGACACACGACGCACAAACAAGCAAACATGTGGGCGTGTGACGTCACATGCGTTGAAATATATACAGTCATGCTGTAGGCGTGCGCCTATAGATGGCGCCAACGCCAAGCGCATTGCTCGCCATCGAGTGTTCATCCCCTGGTCGCTCGGACCACAAAACCGCCGACTACTGCATCATCACAATGACGTCACGACTATGTCATAGATAAACTCGTAGCTGGCCGATGGGTGGTCGTTGTTTTCCCAATTTTAAGTGCAAAGCGCCAATCCAAATACTACGCATATTCCCATTCCCATTCCCATTCACATCAATCGACTCTTGCCCCCCTGGCCGGCCATTGAGGGTGCCTTTTTGTTTTGCCTGAATTTGAATTTTTGTTTTTTCGTTCTCCCCGCAATGCTTTTTATTTATTTGTACTTACCGGGAATTGCGCCTCGTTTTTTATGCGCTCGCAGAAACCAACTAAATTAATCTCAACAATCGGTGGGTCCAACAATCGGTGGGTCCAGAACTACGAGAAAACTGCCGGAAAGTTGTTTGTTTTCACACGTTTGTCAGTTCCTGTTAGGCTCGTGTTTGATGCTGTTGCTCCGCCGCTCATCAATAAAGCAATCAAATCGATCCGGGTCCAAGCAATTTATAGTCCATTAGCAATGATGTGTAGCCTCTGTGTATACATCAGGTCAGGAGATATACTATATATACGAATATACATATAGTGCGGTATGATACGAGCAGTGTCAATCTGATTTTTCACAATTCCACTTTATTATTCCAATTTATTTATTTATTGTCATTTGTTTATTATTACACGACATGTATTAAATAATTTATTTTGCGTGGAAGGCTAGTGGGAATTCTAGAAAATGTTTCACCTCCTTTCCATGAACCATTAAGAATTCACAAAGGTTCAAAAATTAGTTTGTTGATACACACATATATCTATGTACTATTTGCTTCTCTTGAATTATATTCACACGTGGGAAATTTCAAACTTATGGGAATGCCCAAATAAACCTCATGCATATTTCCTAAGAATATATGCATATCAATATTGCTAAGAATCAGTTTTTATTACAACATTTTATTTAAGATACTAACTGCCCATTTTTTTTTTCTTATTTCTTAATTCTTGTTGTTTGCCTTTTGAAACTAGCTATAAATTTCCTACTATTCAAGTGTTTCGATTCTCAAAATGTGGTAATTATTCCTCATTTGGGACAAACACTTTGGAACTGAAGTTTACGACTTTCATAAATCCACATTATTATTGAAGAAAGGTTAGGGGTCTCCTGGTAATACCGCAAGGATATGGTCTCAGTTAACCAAAGTTTTAAAAAGTGATAGATAGTGACGTGTTAGATGAAATCATTTATTGAATAACAACGGTTCCAGAAAGTACAAACATGCGTCCAATGATATTGCATTGCACATTTCAGAAGGTGGCAGAAAATAAAACAGATTTTAATATAGAGCTACTACAGTCGTGGAGTACAAAACATCTGAAACTAAAAGTAACTCTTGCTTTTGCAGCCCACACAGAATTACATGCTTTCACATTTTTATGTGTGCCATCATTTAGAATTTCATATTTCATATTTTATGCTTCCTTTAAGTCGTACATACAAGTATGTGACGTATTTAATTATTGTGTGTTAGCGCCTCATTCCAATTGAGTGTGCGCGTAATGCAAACAATGGGATTTTTGGGCCCCCCATGATATCCATTTATCGTGTACACAAATAGACATGTTTTGACTTTCATCGATGCTTTGCAAAAACAACATTTCCGCTATTGACTGCTGACATACATAATTATTGATGCGAACAGATCGGCTGCCAATCACAGACATTTCTAATAGGGTTTTCGTGCAAAAAACGCCCACATAAAATACTTGTACGAAGAAAAATAAATAAATTCTACTCCCAATGTGTATACAACATGTATGTATGTATGTATGTGTATTTAAAATATAGTTTGAATCTGCAGAATCAGACCAAGCTGATCTTGCTTTTACACACAGCCTTCGCTTCATTTCATTGATTTACAAATTGCAAGATGTTCCTACTCTAAGAAACTGCCATTGTGATTGACGCAAGCAGATCGAATAAACTGGCGAAATATACTTTTCGGAACGTATATCAACAACTATATAAAATTATACTTTCATCATGGGGCTATGTCCGAATTTTCGCCTGAATACTTTGTTTGTTTTCATAAACAGATTACAATTGATGAAATAATGTTTTATAGTACATTCATTCATTCATCCACAAATACATACATTTGTTTGGCAACAGACATTTCCCTGTGACGCAAAGTACTAAATTATCTATTTGAATAATGGAGCTCAATGTGTGAATAAATATTTACCATGTGCAGCACGTGGTAGGTAAGGAGGGCCTCCAAACAGGAACGAGGCACTTTCATTCAGACTTTCTCGAACACTTTCGTGGGCGAAATTGCAGCTTTCACACCTTCCCGAACGATCATGCGACTATAAAAATATTTAGAACAAACAATCATAAAAAATTCACAGGATGTTAATAAGTGTGCGCCATTCAATCGAATGCTTGCCTGAAAATTTAAAACAAAACGCTGAAAAAAACCGCTGATAATAATAAATATTTACATAAAACCTTTCCCAATTATCGAACGTACAATTTTTGTTTTCAAACAAAACGCTAAGACTTCTCAATAAAGTTTAAAGTGTAACGTGGTGTACAAATTATACATGAGTGTGTGTATTATTATTTATAATTATCAATCCGAAATATTGTGCCTGGCATTCAAATTTGATTTTCGCGCCATGTACATTAAATATTTATCGAAGACCTCAACCCAATTACTACAGTATTGCATACTCGCAGGCGCTGTGGTAAGTTTCTCTTACCTCATGGTGAACTCAGTAAGCCCCGTTTTCCGGTATCTTTGAAATGTCTATGTTTGAAAAGCAAGCGTTGTGCTTGAAATGTTTTATATAAGTAAATGCTTATGTATGGTAATTATAATCAATTTTAAGTTATTCCCTTAATTGTTAATGACCAACTGTCGAGGTCAGATCTAGTTTTCTGGCTCGTTCTAAAAACTGTCAGTAAATGTAAAACACAATAAATGTTAGTTACATTTTAATAATGATACTTGTATTAATTAAAATGTAAACATGTTTTGTGCATACATTTTCGTATGCTATGCTCGAATTCACACACATTTACGTTATCTTATCTCTCCTGTGAGCTTATGGGATGCAAAACAACCAAAGCCTTACCCCAATCTTATCTGGATGTATTAAAAAATAATCAACGCCCAAAAATACCTGTAAATAACATGGAAACAGTTGCATTTATAATCTGCTATATGTCAAGATAACGCTGCCAAATTTGTTGCAAATGCAAACGAATCAAATTTATTACATGTTAGGTACTTCATCAATAAATTTGACTTCAATATCTTTCCAAATAATGCAAGATAAGACTCACTAAGCGGTCGTTGAATTGTTTCGTTCCCGGGGGCTCTGCGTTTTTAATTTTAAGGCTTTTCTACCTTGCCAATAATAATACACTTGAGCTGTATTTATATCTATATAGTATGTGTGTAAATGAAGGTGCGAAGGTTAATGGAATAAATTACTCTAAATAAAGGAATATTAAATAAACCCTTGCAATTGTTACTTTATGGAAAAGCTAAGAATGTGAAAAGGCAAAGGTTACTACAGCCATCAAAGTACATTTCATTAAAATAAAATTGTCAAGCGTACAATGGAGATGCGCAACTGCAGTGCATTGGCAATATTTGTGCATTCATTTGTTATGTTTTGATTCAAAAATTTAAAATATACTTTTTATTTTTATGTTTAGTATATATGATTTATAATCATAATCATTTCTGTGTTTATGGTATATGAAAGCACATAAAAGGCCACGAAAATTATTGCATTCCCTCTCCATTTAGAAAGCTGAATTTACACTTCAACGCAAATAATTTTCACAATTTCCAAGAAATATAAATTAAAGTTATATTTCAAGGCTAATACCAATGCTTTGCAAAAATAACATTTTTGGCTGTAATTTGTCTTCTTTATAGCGTTGGTTAATCGTGAGAAAATTATTTGTCAGTCGGACTATAGCATAAGAAATCTTATCAGCCAATCGTCCATTTCTACACTATTATGCCTCTTGTGATTTAATTCTTTTGTGATCCGACTTCGCCAAAATGTTTTTTCTTCGATTGTTGAAGAGGATAAGTAGTAATACAAGGCGTATAAAATAATATATAAACCGTTTAAACGTGATTTGACAGATAAATTTATGCCCAGACAGGCAAATAGTTTGCACACAAATTTAAATTGATTTTGAAAATTGTCCGTTAAAAATCGTACTATTAAAAAGGCCGACAAACAATTTGTGGGTCATAGAAGGCTGAAATAATAATGGGTTTGGGAGGGGAACAGTTGGTTGCTTTGTGCTATATTCTTCTATATATTCAAAACTGACATTTTTTCCGATTTGTGGATTTGGAAGCACAAATCAATTTCGCAAATGTACCGAGAAACAATTTGTGGTTCATAGAAGGCTGAAACACTAATGGGTTTGGGAGGGGAACAGTTGGTTGCTTGTGCTACATACTTTTAATTTCATCTACAAATTGTTGTCCGTATTCAAAACTGACATTTTTTCCGATTAGTGGATTTGGGAGCACAAATTAAATTCGCAAAATGTACTGCGGTATCCAATGCATATGCCTTGTAGTGGAGTGTGTAGCGTATGGCGAGTCGGACCAGCTGTGATTTTGGCTCGGCTTCGTCTGCGTCATCGCCAGCGTAGTCGGCTTCCATGCGCTCTGGCCTGCACCGCTGAGTCGACTCGCATGTTAAGTAGGAACGTGTCGGGGACTGAGTCGTCAGTTCGTCGCCGCTCGCCAAACGAAACGGTGGGAGATTTACGCGCGATTGTCATTTTTGTCGGGGTCTGCGGCTTGTCGGCTCTTTTGCCAAGCAATTGTTTATCAAAACATTCTGACAGCACAACAACAAAGAAAGAAAGCACTACAGAGAAACAGTGCGGACGCTGGGACGACAAAATTGCAGCCAGTTGTTTGTTTGTTTTCAAGTTAAATTACCTAGTCGCATGATATGAAATATAAAATACAAAATAATTGCGCTGAAAATAGTTAAGCATTCACGGCAAAAGCGATACAAAAGTAGAAAGTTTCCATTTCATTGTTATTACATATTACATATTAGAGACGCCCCCGGCCATAGCCACGCAACGTAAACGCAGCCGCCAAAAGTTAAAGCCAAAGTCGCAACCAAAACGGAATCTTCAGTTCGGCGTGTGAAAAAAAAAACAGTCGAAAAAAGAAATTCGATTTAGTCAAAGAGTTTAACATAATTTGCAATACTTAAACAGCGCTCGGCGTATAGTATATAAACATAAAACAAAACCAAGTCTAACAACAACAACAATGTCCGGTCCAGTGACACTGCCTGAAATCACCGACGAACAGCGGAACACATTGGAACAGGTAAGCGACTACGCTCTACTCTGTCTGTCCCGACTCTTTTGGCTCGTCTCTCGTACACTGGTCCAGCATGAAGATTTTCGTTGTAGATTGGACAGATGCTGCAATTGATAATATCTACGATTGTTCCAGTCAAAATTAGTATTTAGTCTCTGTCTGCTCATAACACTCTACCTTTCGACTATGAATACTTAACTAAGCTGTTCTCCTTGCCTGAAGAAATTGAAATCCGTTGAATTAACATATTTTCCTTTTTAAAATACACTTCTTTACATGTTATGTTCGGTATACAAAAAGGCAAGGCAGATTTAACTATACTCAATATTTTTACCTGAGCAACTTTTTTTTACTCAAGTTCTCTAAACGGTATTGAGGTGCGCAATCATTAGTTCTATTAAAACCCAGTTCCTCCAAAGCTATTCAAATCATCTCTCGCATTCTTCAAGAATGTATTCATACATGTATGGTCTTATTTCAAGTGAATTTTACTAAGGTAGCATAATTTGTTTTAAAGTTTTAAAGATATCCTAAAATTATAATAAAAATTGTTCTCCATTTTTTTTTTAAATTAGTCTCTTAGCTTGTAGAACTGAAGATTACTTTTGAAGAAAGGTACTGATTGTGAAAAATTTGTTTAAATGCCATTATTTATTTCACTACATTTAAAATGTTTTATTTCAATTTAACTAAGTAATTATGAGATGTTTATTAAGAATGTCTAATTTCATTTAATCACCAATCAAAAGTCCATGCATTGCAATTTCAAAATTTTTAATAATCATGAATATATATAGTAATTTTACGATACTTAGTAAATACTTATTCAGAGCTCAAATACTTGTAGTTGCCCAGTTGAAGAAGCTACTCTTTATATTTGGTAAATTCTTAAGAAATTGATTTTCCATCATTCCACAAATTGCGACATCGACAGTAACATGCAGTGTATTTGAAAACAGAGAATTCCAACATTCCAAAGACAGACAAATCGGATCAACGCACTCGCAGCTCCACTCTTAAGTTGTTATCTTTTTCTCAAGTTTTAAACAAGTAAAAGGACTTAGGTTAAAACCTTCCCCACATTTCCTTTTCGTTTCAACTGATCATCCCATGCAGTATTCTGTTGGTAAGAACATTGTTTTCCAATTCCATGGCATTCCAAAAACAACGAGTTCTGATCAATACATTAGATTACCAGTTTCAATCTCAGCTCACTGCTTTGATCGAAAGTTGTGGAAAAGTGTACGAAATTAAGAGAATACTGGTATATATTTTTCACATTTTGCTTGCGCTTGTACTGGTCATCTGATGTATCGTAGCGTGCTCATTTATTGTTCCAGTCCACTGAATCTGTAAACTCGTTGGCCTTGTCGAGTTCCGATAAAATATTGAGCTATGACCATTATTCGTAGCAGTGCGTAATGCTGACTTGGCAAATCTATCAATATATGGGAAAGTAATGAGCGCCGTCCTGAATATTTAAATGGGAGCAGATTTAACGCATTTGAGGCCCACTGTGCCCGTTGTCTGGACAAAATAACAACTTGTTCTTGCTGTTCCAGGTCGAGAGCTATTGCTGCTGACTTCGTGATACATTTTTTGCAACAGTTGCGCATTGTTGACTTTGTTCTTGGCTATCCACTTGCGAAATCGCGCGACCAGCAACTCACGCGAAAACTGTTTAGGCCAGCAGCAATTGGCAAGTGTTTTGCCGGTTTTCCGTTTGTCTCTCGCAAGGCGCGCCCACGGCTTGTGTCGGTGGTATTGGTGGTGCTGGTGGTGCTGGTGGTGCTGGTGGTGGCCCACAAATCGATGGTAAACAAATGCCTGACGACTCTAACCGGTTGTTGGCGTTGCATCTGCAGCTGAGCGCGTGTCTCTTTGGCGCGCTGACCGACTTGCATTTTCGTTGACTGTGCCACATTTTTTATCGGCTCTGGGCCCGGCTGTAAATATTTTCAGTGTCAGTGGACTCGAATGAAGCCGAGTCGAGTGGAGTCAAGTCGCGTCGCATCGAGTCATTGACATCGCTAGACAATTACAACTGCACATTTGGTGCGGGAACAAATGGCAATTATGAATGCATATGTATATAGTATGTATATAGTATATAAATGATCTCCGACTTGAACTGACAATAAATCACGAAGCTGGCCAGCACTCCTCTACTCATTCGGAAAGGTTGCAAAGTTGCATCGCCTTAGACCCACTCTTATTGCCAAACGGAATTACATTATTATACGGCTTTTCACTCGAATATTAAATCGTAGCAGCCAACCGGTTATTGCATTATAACAATCCCATCAATGCCACTGCGTTTGACTTGGCAGCATTTCAAGGTTTAAGGCGTGAATGAGAACAATTAGGAAACAAATACAAATACAAATACAATACATGACCCACAAAACTTGTTTTCGTAATTTCAAGCAATTTTTCCTGTTGTATTTTTTGCGCGATTGGAAAGTGCAAATATAAAAATCGTCAAATCGAAGTTAAGCGAAAAGCAAACTTTCGGCTAGAGATGAAAGCGTGATGGTTTATTACCAAATAATTAGTATAATATAATTCACATTAATAATTCATACAGCCCATATGTGTTCATACATTAGAACTTGAATGTCTGTTTGATTATCTGTATAAATACCTATGTGCAATATATAGATATAAAGATACCAAGCACGGCTTGTAGACTCTTACTTTTACTTTCCCTGAAATGTCCTAAGAAAACAACAACTTTTAAATTCACCAATAATTATGAGAGTAAAATGAAAATCACCCAACCTTATATAAGTACAACTAATGTGATCCGGCCTAGTTTAACGAGCTTATTTGTTCCAGAGTAGGTTTTCTCGGTTCGAATCATCATCGCAGAAGAATGAGATCAAAAATCTCAAAATCACAAAATCTCATCTTGAGTAAAGAATAACAGGGAAAAATATTAGTAATATTTAACTATAAAATATTAAAGTGTAACTGTTCCTCTTCTCCAACTATCAAATATTGCTATCGTAGCAAATATGGGTCTTTATTAATTGGGAACATTCTATTTAAGTATAGTTTAGTCAGGTCTACCATAAAATACTTTTACCGACTAATCTGTGGCTTAACAGACTGCCTTGCTTTCGATTTCGTGAAAACTGACTCATCTCCTTCGCCAGTCTCTACTATTGCTTCAGTTAAAATAAAGTAACCTACATCTGGTTTGAGAAATATTAAACTTTCATTGGATTCGCTATTTAAAAACTTTATTTCGGTGTGAGCCGAAAACAAAGAACAAAGCGTAGCCTCCGATAGGCAAGTACGAGCACAAGGTGCGCGGCGAATATTAGGAAGTCGAATCTGCTGACCAACATACGTGTAGTTAGTTAACGCCACACTAATAGAGTCGGCCCCACATTTAAAGACAGAATTCGACTTCAACCTAATGCGCAATGAAAAGTAGACAACAAGCTAAAAAGAAGCGGTTAGCGGCCTCGTTATTGAATTTCGAGAGCCGTCAACGTCTCTAGATTTGTGCTGGGCACACAGCTCTCAAGTTGGCTAAGTTCCAGCTAGTCGGACAAAGCTAACTGCTGATAGGCATACAGAGACACTCACATACGCATTGTGCCTTGTTTATGTGTAATTTAAAGATTATTATTACACACGAACACTTTCTGGGACTTCACTGCTCACATACTACAAGTGAGGATGAATCATGCATAAGTACCAGTGAGGCATAATCGAGACTGAGCCCACACTGTTTAAAGCCCGATCTGAGATAAATGTTCATAATAAGTAGCTGGCGAGTGCGGAGAAAAATTGAACAACTTTATTTTTATACATATAACTTGTATTATAACTGAATCGTGCACAGCATGCCTGATAAGAGCTACATAAATTCGATAAGATTCATACTAAGTAGTACTGGTTCAGGCATTGAAACTTGCCTTTCCATTACAAAAACATGGTCTGTTCAAAAGAAAAGGGCAGTTTTTAATTTTTTTTGAAAACTATTTATTTATGCATCTCCTTTAGAGTAATCCCCCTCAGAGATAATGCAGCGCTTCTTCGAAGCACTTTGAAATGCGCTTTTCGGTATGGCCATCTTGTTCTTCGATTTTGATTTTATCTCATCCATTGTGGAAACACGCTTTCCTTTCATTTGTTTCTTCAGTTTTGGGAATAGGAAAAAGTTGCAGGCAGTTCCATGGCTCTGACTGCTTTTAAGGAGACAAGATGGATATTGATTTATTCATCAAATGCTTTTCAAGGCAATTCAAAATTCACCTTCTATTTTGTACAGGCCTTGTACATACTACTTGTATGTACTTCCAAACGATCCATAACTTCCTTGTAGTATTCCTCATTAATCGTACAACCTTTTGGCAGGAAGTCATTGTAATCGTAGAAAACAGTAAGCAAAACCTTCACCTTTTCTTTTCAACAAACCTCGTAGGTCGTCGGTATCAGTTTTACAACCTCTTTTAAAGAATAGAACAACAATTGTTGTCCTAATTCGTACAAAATGTTTCACTGATTGGTTATCTACACACAGCCCCAAAGATCTAAAAAGCTATGAACTAAGAAACGATTTTTGGGGAATTCAAACTCCAAATGAGGAAAAACGAACTCCTACTTTATGTGAAAGATCTTAATTTGTCATTCGATTAATTTTAGGCATTCGTTGTTTCAAAAAGAATACAAAATAAACTACCCTACTACATTTTTTCTTAAGCTTCGATTTTGTTTGAGCTGGTCACACACATATCACAATTTAAATGACATTCCATCTGTTTGGACTCGTTTTACGAAAAATATGAGACATTTTTTGAAAGCGATAGCTTTCCTTGAAGCATATATGTGGCTAGAGTATTTTGACTCTTCTATTATTAACTGTTATTCACTATTTTGTCTGCCCTTGTTGTTCTATATAGTGCGCGTACGTGTATCTATGTATCGCCCTTAGACTGAATAAGACTTTATCAATATCTTTATGTGCTTTGGATAGATAAACCAGCATAATCGGTTCTTTTCTGTTATTGCCTTGGCAACAAATTTGCAAGTCATGCGTAGAATTGTTTAGCACATTCGATATGCAGCAGTCGTACATGGATCGTAAGCCCAAAATAGTAGCGTAAAATTGGCATTGAACAAGGCCGGCTTAGCATCAATTAAAAATTGAAAAAACAGCGGCGAACACAACAAAACACAAAACAAATTGAGACTTGAACAAATATAATTAAAGCGTTGTACTGTAAACTCGAATACCAGTTTTAGGTACAGTCGGACTCATTATAACTCTACAAAAGTAAAGTTAAGGCTTGATTTGAATGACTTATTTATGTGTTTTAATGACATTAAAAACTTGCAATGGTAGGTCTTTGTTGAGGCGCAGAAAGCAGTTTTAATTGAATCTGAATTGTTATTCGTTCGCCTTAGGCGATTGCTACTGTGTGCGATTTTTTGTGCACCGTTTAACCTGCACCGTCTTATTATACCTGACCATCGAGTTAGAGGAGCCCCATAAAAAATGCTGTTTATTCGATTAGACAACGATTTTTGAGATTGGAAAGGTACGGGTTTTTTTTGCTTATACGAGCCAGAGGAAGGGAAAGGCAAGGGCAATTGAATGCACTTGGAATCAGATATACAGACCGAACTGTTAACCATAATTTGCTTTAAAAGTGGATTATCTCAAGGTTGTGTTCGCCCTATGTTGGATTGTACGATTAAGTTTCTTTGTCTTTAGTACTTACTTGTATTTAATTATTGTATTCAATTATCTCCCAGTTCCGCACGGTTATGGCCGATGTTCTGGTGCCCACGCATGATGACTATTTTCTGTTGCGCTGGCTGAGGGGTAAGTGTCCTAATTTCCCAATATTGCAAGTAAGTGCGTAGTAACCCTCTAATCTACACGACAGCACGCAAATGGAACTTGGAAGCGGCTGAGAAAATGCTGAGAGCGGTAAGTTCTTCACCCTCTCCAAGTCCATATGATGGAGTAATTTGTCAAATCATGATTGCAGAGTCTGAAAACACGAGGCACCTGGAATGTGGACCACATTGAAAGTTGGGATGTGCCTAAGGCGTTGCGGGAATATATGCCGTATGGCTTGATTGGAAACGACAATGATGGATCGCCAGGTATGTGTTCTGAAGAAGCATAACCCTTAAAACTTCCACTCCTCTCTCTCTCTCTCTCTCTCTCTCTCTTGCGTTCTCCCTCCTCGTCGCTTAACAGTGATCGTTTGTCCCTTCTATAACTTCGATATCTGGGGCATCTTGCACTGCGTCACACGCTTTGAGTTCCAAAAGTATCTCGTGCTGCTGCTGGAGCGTTTCATGAACAAAGCGTACGAGCAGAGCCTGAAACATGGCTGGCAAGCTCGCCAATTAGTCGTATTCTTCGACATGCAGGATGTCAACCTGAAGCAGTATGCCTGGCGACCGGCGGCCGAGTGCATCATCTCGACGGTTAAGCAATACGAGGCCAATTATCCGGAGCTGCTCAAACAGTGCTATATCATAAATGCCCCCAAACTATTCACAGTTGCCTTCAACATAGTCAAGAAGTTTCTGGATGAGGCAACCACCAGCAAGATCCACATTCATAAGGTTGGCACCGATAAATGGAAGCAGGCGCTATTCTCACATGTGGATCCCAAAGTCTTCCCCAAATCCTGGGGCGGTCAGTTAGTCGATGAGTTCGGTGACCCCCAGTGCAAATCCAAGATGGTCTGGGGTGGCAAAGTACCTGAGGATCTGTTTGTTGATCAAAGCAACCAACAGAGCGACAAGGACTTTACCGAAACCACCGTTGCCAAGGGTGACAAGCTCAAGCTGGAGTTTTTCGTTAGTCCCCAGCCCAAGGAACAACAGCATCTTCTATCCTGGGATTTCCGTACCTTCGACCACGACATCAAATTTGGCATATACAGTGTCGATAAGAAGACGGGCGAGAAACGAAGTGAGGTCGCACTGGGCACTGTATTCTCAAACGAAATGGACGAGATTGGCTTCATATCGACTCGACCGAACACTACATGTAAGTGCCAGTTTTATAGAAGTTTTATGGGAGTCCACAATTCTTTTAGGTACATAATAATTAAGAGACAATCCATCAGGTTCTCGTTTTTGTAAATTTTAGAAATGAATCAGTCATTAATGACCGATTCCAGTTTAAAAACGGGTTTTAATTGAATTCATTGTATTTTTTATTTTTGTTAAATAATTTTTAATTATTTAGATAAAACATTCTACATCTTTAACCAACTCTTGATTTCTTCCATTTTTATTTTCATCCGCAGACACGGTCGTTTTCGACAATTCGGCCAGCTATCTGCGCAGCAAGAAACTGCGCTATTGGGTCTCCCTCATATCAGACGAGGAAGAGGGCATCACTGAGCTGACCACGCAAATGGAAAGCACACAGCTGGCGACGCAGCAGTGAAGGATGGCAGGTTAACAGCTATAAGCCAAATAGATACAAACATACGTGTTAGTCTCTACTACCACACAACACGGTCCAGACAGTCTAAAGTCAAACTCGTTGCAGGCGCTGCAGGCAATGCTGCAAGGACACCATGTGATACAAACGGCTCACGTTTACATTAGCTCTACAGTTAACTATTGCATATTTTATTTCGTATCATACATACATATATAAAACACCTTTGTACATTGTAACCTTATCGTTAATTTTGTATACTATACATTGAATGATTCTTATAAATACAATTCTTATGATATACACATTTTTATAAAGGACAGGCTTAGTCCCTCTAAGACAGCTCGACCAGCTCACAACAAAGGTCGAGCAACTTTATGCTCAAATTTACGCTCCAAAACAAGCCAACAAAAATCAGCAGCAAATAAACAATAATCCAAATATAAAAAAATTTTTTCGTTTGTCTTCTTGTGCTTAAAGTTGTCTGATTAGGATTTGGGATCGCCAGTTAAGGACTGACAAGGAGCAACAAGTTATCCTAATTTTGCAACAAAGTTTTTTGGTAACCGAACGGCCAAGTTACTTTGAATTTGAATGATATATAGGGACACGCAGAGCTGAACAACGGATGTGTGTTTATGTGACTCTCGATTTCATTAACTTTACAATTACTTAATACATAGTTTTTACACATCTAAAATACATGAAAATGTTATAACGCTGCGTTGAATTTGTTATATAATAAATAAATGAATAATGCTGCATTCATGAACAAAGCATACGAGGGAAGGAAAAAATGGGAAGTCCGAAGTTTCGTATCCATGAAGAGAAGTTTTTTTTTGTTTTTGTGATTCCGGAAGGCCGCTGTCCCTAAGGCTGCTGGGAGGACGCGCGGCGCTTACGCCTTCATCACTGCGGACCACCAGGATTGGGTCCAAGTTGCGGGTAGCCGCCAGGGCCAACCTGCGCGTTGCCCACCTGCGGTAACTGCTGCATTGGCATCATGGGATTTGGACTAGAGCCAACCACTCCGACACCAACACCTACGCCCACGCCTACGCCAACAGGTGGTCCAATGGCCTGATTGGGCGGCGGTGGTAGATCAGTCGTCAGTTGGAGATTGGTCAGAAGATCCGTAATGGCCGGAAACAGCGAACATTGGTTCTGTTGCACTCCGAAATCGGCAAAGCGTCGTAAGAGCGTCATAGCTGCGGATATCATTGGCGACATTTCGCGTCTGTCCGCTATCTGGGTTAGGTTCGTCGTGATATCGTACACGATAGGTAGCACCAGCGAAGGGCTATCCTTCCAGTCCTTACCGTTGTATGGTATGCGGGTTATTTGCAAAAAGAAGAGGATTTTCATGCGCCCCATAACCACGGAGGCATTGCCGATGGGCACAATGGGCATCGCTGAGGGCGGCATACGCATGCACATCTGCACAGTCCACTTCAGCTGATCTCCACCCAACTCGGGCTTCATCTCCAGCCGCATTATCTGCACAAAGTCTTTGAGCACCTGCGCCGGCAGATTGAGCAGCCGACAAATGCTGTGCAACGAGTTGGGCCGATAGGGTGGCGCTGCAACACGTGTGTCAAAATATTGCTCAATGACCAGCAAATCCTCCGGGCTCAGCTGGAAAGTCTGCTTGTCGGGCATAGGCGGCAGCTGTGTGACTTTCAGATGAAGCGATTGCATGTGATTCTGATTAAGCATCACCTGACACTGGAGACCGTCGACCTTAAAGAGTACCACGCCTGGCTCCGAAGAGTTTAATGCAGTCAGTGTCTCGTCACTCTGTATATTCCGATGCAACTGACGGCGCATATAGACGCAGCCCAAAAAACGTTCCAGTGGGCTCATATCTACCACATTAATATCCTTGTTTGGATGCGGACTTGGGCGGCAGAGTGTCTCCAAGTATTCATGTGTTAGCACCGTGGGCACCGCACCAGCCCATGGTCGATTAAGGGTGCTACGTGCCATCGAGCTGCCTGCAGTGGGGACCGTGCCACCCGGACCTCCTGCCTGACCACCTGTGGACTTGTGATCAGGGCTCTGACCAGGTCGTGGTGAGGGACGAGGCATGCTGGGCGATCCAGGCCAGTTTGTGTTCGCCGGCGACATGGCGGTAAATGGAGAATCCTGATGATTTTGCATATACATGTTGGGACCTGGGCTGTGCACCATGTGTGGACTTGGCTGCGGATTGAGTGGCGAAGAGGGCATTAGTCCACCGGGCGACGGATGCGGCATGTGCGGTGCTGGCGGCGATGTCAAATTAAAGTTTGCATGACTTTGAGCTCCGCTATTACCGCCAGCCGATGGATGCGGACTGGCCGGCGTGTGCGGATTGGAGCTGGAAGGCGGTGTATGTGGAGCTGGAAAGCGCAATCCACTATCTCGTGGCGATTGTGGTCCTCGCATTCCAGCACCCAAAAACGGGGAAGAGCCGCCTGCACTGACACCCGTCACACTGCTTGGGCCACCAAAATTGTCCTCCATACCCATGGGCGATAACGGATTGTCATCCTCGTTTTGTGTGCGTCCACGATAAACAGCCGACTCGTCCACATACTTAGAGAGGAAGGCCTTCAGTCCCTGAATTGGGGTGAACTCCTCAATAACGTTGCGCTCGAAACGACTGCTTGCCCCATCGCGAATAGAGACAAGGCGATTGGCCCGGAAACGCACCTCCAAGCAGTAGACAGCCTGGTAGGTAAGCCGTACAAGACTGGGTGACTGCGGCAATATGCAGAAAGAAAGAACCGGCACTTGTGGACGCTAAAAAACAAACGGAAAGTTTCAGAAATTGTTGATGCTGTTCATAGAATTGTCACCTACCGGAATGCCCAACAGTGGCAGCACCGGCAATTTGGCCAGCGAGCTCATCGGATTATATGTCTCATGAAGGATATGAACTATTTGCGTGAGGCTGTGTTGTTGATTGAGATGCTGGGCCAGCTGATCTCGCATCATGGAGTGCGCGTTAACAGCGGAAATGCCGCCGACAAAGATCAAACGAAAGCCATGCGACTGCACCGACCAGTAGATATTGCAGGTAACCTCCTTTTTTGGACCATAACCGAGCAGTAAATTCATGTAGGTAAAAGATTTCACAACAAGCATGTCCCCAATACTCAGTCGCTCTAAAAATACAAAATGTAATTAGTTACCTTATACTTTATCGAATATTCTTCAACTTACTATTACGCAGATGCTCCGCAAAGTCATAAACCAGTGTGTAGAGATAGACAATTTTAGACCAATCATTGAGCAAATCTTCCACCGTCTTAGAGAAATCATGATTGGCCTGTTCATACGTTAGATATGCAGTGCGTCGGCTGCCCTGTTCTTTGTTGTGGGTGCTCTGCACTGGCGTCCGATAAAATACAAATTCTACGATCCAAATCCGCACTTGGCTATTCTTATTCATCTGTGATCGCACTGATATAGAGAGCACGCGTCTCATTAGATCCTCCCATACATGCTTCTCAATCTTGGGCAGCGCCGAATTCGCGCCATGAGTCCCCTTGGATTCACCCGCCGCCTGTTGCGTTTGTCCAGGCTTAGGCAATGCCAATATCTTAAGCACCAAGGAAGTAGCGTTGGCCTCCACCTGAAGACCGCTGTGCGGAATATTGTGCTTAGTTAGTGCCTGGGCCAAATTTAGGAACGGTATCTTCTCATCGCACATGGCCACTACGTGGGCCAATTCGGGTATAAAGTAAGCGGGGAATATGGTCTTTTGTTGCTTAGTGGGTGGCGCCAAAATATCGCCATTAGATTTTCGTTTATGCGGTGAAATTTCTAATGAGGAGAAAACACCCCAATTAACTACAAAAAATATTAAAAAATCAATAGAAATATCAAGCTCACCATCCACTTCTGTTCCAGGCCCATGAGTGGCCACAAATGTATCGAATTCAATTAGACGCATGAGCTTTGTATAAAGCTTAGGAATCTCCGACTGTGGCTGAGCTACGACGGATACCAGCTGTTTTGCGGAGTCGTCAACTACATCGGCCTCATCTTTTTGAAACACTACAAAGCCCAAATGAAAGGTGTACTCCATTTCGTTGGGCATTGTCGGCTTTTCATTTAGTTGCACGACCTACAAAAATAAATTTGTTATTTTTAATGTTTGTACTTCTATTTTTCGGCGAGATTTAGTGACTTCCGGAATTTTATGAAAGATCCGTTTTATCATGTATATTTTATATTTTTTGTCCGTTTTGTTGTATAATTAAATGATGTTGCTTACCAAAATAATGTTTGGATGCCGATGCAGTTTAACATAGATTTTGTGTCTCCCAGTTCTCAGCAACTCATATTCGGGCAGGGTAAGAAAGGGCAATGTTTCAATTGCCGTGGCTGGCAGATGCTGCAGAGTTTTCTCGCAGCGACGATGCGTGATCCAATAGCGTAGCTCTGATAATAGACTCGGTAGCTTGCTTCGATCACCATTCAGGCAATCCTGCATCTCATCTGTAATGGGACAGTCCAAGTGCTTGGGCACATGACAGCGGAACATGCCCGTGTGCGTGTCGATAGTTATATGGATTTGCTCGGCTCGCAGGCACGGTGTTAGCACTGGAACCGTTAGGATAGCAGGTGTGCCCTGCAGGTTGACTGAAATTGTAAATGTTAGACATTTAGACGACTCCTGTTATACGAAATAGTATCCGAAATTTACACTCACAATCAACGTCCTTAAGAAAGGCTTGAAACTCCAGTTTCAAATCGCTGAGTCGAGACACCGAACGAATATATACTGTATGCACAATCAAACGTTCCATGGAGAGGTGCTCTGAACGCACTGCGCGGTCGGCCACTTCAGCCGATTCCTTTGCTCCTAGGGAAGGCACATGCACCACTGCCAGGGGCCGTCCAATTTCGCTTGGATCGGATTGTACAGTTAAGCGGTAGCCAAGCTCCGACTTTAGATCGCGCCAGTACGACACGGTTAGTTTCACACCTGGCACATACTCCTCCACGGTGATATTGTTATCGTCCAAGCGCTCGTAGTTCAGACGCAGTGTCTGTGTGTAGAGCACCTCCAGCTGCAGAGACTGACAAAAGTAGTGCAGACAATTATACACTTCACTTAAGGCATTGGGATTCTCGACAAGTCGTGCTTGAATCAGTTGGTGAATGTAGTTGACTTGGAGCGGATGCACTAGCGACTTTCCATCTGTGATAAAAAGCAGCCATGTAGCAATATAAATTATACGACTTTGTTCTTATACTTACCGCCCGTTTCCTTGTCTTCAACGAGCACATCAATGTCAAGAAGCCGCCAGGGCACAATAGGACTGTCGCCCATTACGGTCAGCGCCACGCTGAATTCGTGCTTAACCTCGAAGGTGACGCGTCCATTCTTGATTCGAAACTCCCGCATTTGCGGCAACAACTTTCCAGTGACAAGCCGATGTTGAATCACCTGGTTGAGTCGCAAGAGGGTCTGTTTTTTCTCAGCCGGCGTTATGGCGTCGGGAGGTACAATACGCTCGCGAATGCACGTCGGCAACCTGTTGTAGGTGCCTGTCGTTAGCACCTCCACAGCGGCAGGAATGTGGAAATTGGGCAAACGAGCGCGCACTAAAGTTTCCCGAGACATGCGCGCCAACATATCAGCCGATTCTACAAAGAGCATATTCTGCTTGTCCAGAAAACTCATTATTTGCTGTAAAAGAATGGACCATCCTTGAGTTAAAATTTTCAGAAAAAGTAAAGATCAAACCTACCGATGACTTGTCCACCTTCGACACTGAATTGCCCCACTTGACAAGCGCATTAAGACGCGTAAATAAATGTCGTGTCCGCGCAGCGTAATCATAGATTTCCACTTTCCGTTCCATGTCCGTCTTACGCGGCAGCCTGTGAGTAACATACACACACACACACACACATTTAAATAGTAAGGCGACTACAGCTATAATTATAAATCGTTGTACTTACAGCTCAGCCAAAACCATGAGCTCGTGATACGTCCTCTGTATGATGAAGTCGATTAGCACAGACAATGACATTGTATTTATGCGTGATCCACCTTCTTGGCCAGAAGGCAAGTAGCCGCCCACTCCGGGCATTTGCTCTAGAGGCAGCGGAGTCGGCGCCATGTTTGCAGATTTGTTGGCGTGGTAAATTTGCAGATAGCTTTACGCTTTCCTTGCGTCTTCGATAGAGTATTTTTTACGTTGTTTAACGCGCCAAAATTTGTTGCATATTTTAAGCCGATCCCACTTTATTTTGCAAGTCTTTTCACAGCTTTATTGCAATTTTCCGAAACAATTTTCACGGCTCTCGCTTGGCTTGGAGATGAGATGTGATGAAAACACAGCGTATATCGACATTGCACAGCAGAACTATCGATATATCATAAAGTAAAGGCGATTTTACTTGTTTACATATCGCTTACGGAGGACACTGCATCGATTGGCGTACAATTTCGATGCTTTCCAATAACGGCTGTTTTTCATTCCGTGAATATTTTGTATGCCCTTTGAATTTTACTCGCTGCTAATGTTACTTAAGAAATGAAACCTGTAGGTTTGAATATTTTCTATGTATGTAATATGTTCTAATTGAAATATAATATAAGCTGATCTGAGCTGAAATATTTACAATGACTCACATTCACGAAATATTAAGTTTGGTAAAAAAAATAAAGTGACAGAAGATCATTTTTAACTAATATTTTTCAATGGGTTATATATTTCCCGTTCAAACGTATAATATGGTAATGGTAAAAATTTTCATTTTGTTTTTAAATTTAAGAAGTGTAAGAAATGAAATATTTCAAAACTAAAATTAGTTTCAATAAGAATGCGAATATTAAGAAGTACGTGGTACATATTTATATAATATACTTGTATGTATATGCACCATATATATTTACTTTTTAATTGTATTAACTAGCATTGAGTAGGATTGAGTAAGGTCAGCAACAGTGCATAAGTATTCGTCACTAGGTATTTACTTATTTACTACAACTTCCATAGTTCCACAAGGCCGGCTTATAGAAAGTTTAAGGCTTACAAATTATTAAGGATCTATAAATTTTTAAAATATAGTCTGAACCAATAAATAGTGACCGTTGATGGATTAGTTGAGTACATATATTTAAGTCAGGACCAAAAAAAAAAGAGTACCCTAGGGATTAGTAGCGTTGACATACCAAATTTGGTTAATATGAACCAATAAATAGTGACCGTTGATGGATTAGTTGAGTACATATATTTAAGTCAGGACCAAAAAAAAAAAGAGTACCCTAGGGATTAGTAGCGTTGACATACCAAATTTGGTTAATATGCGCTCAGCCATTTCCAAAATCCAGGCGTTCATCCAGTCGGACAAACGGACGGACATGTCTAAATCGATTTCTCTCGTCATGCTGATTAAGAATATATAGTATATACTTTATTGAGATGCTTCCTTCTGCCTATACGCTTTTTAGCAATAGGGTACAGGGTATACAAATAAATAGCTACTCAAGGTGCCAATTATATATGCCAAGTATATATGTATATGTATGTACATACTACTGGCTAAAGATATTATAATGGAAAAATGAATAGCAAACAAAATAATTAAGTAACATCATTTCATTTCCAAAATAAATGAAATAATAATATTATTAGCACGACTCAAAGCACCATACCCGCATATATTATGAATAAATATTTTACTTAGATTATAGTAGAGATCGTTATGATTAAACTCTTCGGGGGCCACCTAGACAAACAGCAAAGTTCAATGACCAAGCTATTTTCATTTCCATTGGAAAACAGCGAGCTGAATTCAGTTGCAAGTGCTACTGGCGTTCTTGTTGTTGTTGATGCTGATGCTGATGATTTAGATTTTCTCTTGATGTTGTTGCTTGCTGTTAAAAATAAAGAAAACAAAAACATTTCCGCTTTTGTTTCTTTGAATTTTGACACGGTAGCTTGGTCTGTAGTTGGCTGCTCATTGTGGCGTGTGGCATGCGTTGCACTCTTCCTTGACGTTAGCGCTGGAGTTCTCCTGCTACGCGCATCTCTATCAGTAAACAGCCACTGCCGCGAACTTCAAGTGGCAGCACATGCCAAGCAACCGCGCCCGCATACCGCCTCTCACCCGCTTCCAGTATGCGCCAAGAAATGCAAAGTGGCCGCCCTACTCCTTAGCCATATACATGCATACAAGCTGAGAAAGCTGCCATCTCTGGTGCACTTCAAAATCAAATTTAGCCGCCACGTTTGGAGTTTGAACCGGCACGCCCTCGTCTACGCCGACGCGCTCTTTATTAGCAGCGTGCCCAGCATCCCGTGCCCATACCCCTCCACAGATCTGTCTCTCCACAACTCCCCCTGCCTGCAGTTGTCGGTCGTTGTCAGCAGCAGTAAAAATAGAACTTTATGATGTTCGCTTCTTTGAAACGTGGCCCGGCCACGCTCACGAATTACACGCATATCCGGCAGGAGAGGCAATGCTACACTTGCCACATGGACCAGGCTCCAGAAACCACTTCAGGGTTGATCAATCGCGCGCAGTTCCTGCCCAATCAGGTGCTCATCATGCGATATCTAAACATTAATCGGCGAAGCAATGAGTTATGTTGCATACTTGGCTCCTGTAAACAGGATGTAAATAAACCGTGCATTGGGTGATGAAATATGTTCCACTATGCCTAGGTTGTGAACGAAATCATTGGCACCTGGAGATGTAAATATATTACTTGTTAATAGTCCTGATCCAAGCGGATCGCTTTTATATGTAAAATCATGGGCAAATCTCGATGGAGGGACACATGTGCGCCTCATTCTGACAACAGCGATCTGCTTGGCCAAAGATGTCCATTGTCGCTGACTCAACTTGGTGCCAATATGCGCACTTCTTGGACCGCACCACCCCGTTGTCATCGGTTCTTTCGACAGTCTACGCACAGAATGGGACAGACAAAGAAATCCCAGAAAGTTGTCTGCGTTCTTGGCGCTAACATGGAAATGCAATTTGGATGCAGAGGTCAAGCTGGGCCAGCACCATGCGTCACGTTCTACATACTTTTGGCACGGAAACTGCTTCCACCACCCTAATAGATGCGTGGTGGTTGCCAAGGGGAAGAGTGTCACACACACACACACATACATACATACGTGTATGCACATACCAGTGTATGTATGGAAAGATTTTTGTCGTGGAGGCTGCCTTTTAATCACGGTAATTAATAAAGAAAAAAGTGCGACGCAAGTCTCTTTGGACAGCCCCGGACTTACAAAGGAAGGAAGTGAAGTTGCTGATTCATTCGATGGAGCAAGGGTGGCGATGGCGCGGGATTGGCCTGCAGCTGCTTGACAGTGGCAAGATCAACATCATCAACACCAACGCAACACGCAACACGCAGACCAGAGCACGCGGCAAGTCCCACTAAGCCGTCGCATCACCCAGAGCGTTGCATTTCTCAAAACTGACGCGAGTCGCGGCAATGGCAATAAATCTATTTTCGTCCTGGACCACCGTTCCCGTTGCCGCTCCAGCAAAGCCCGATCTTCAAGCGCTCACTTGCTGCGCAATTGCGTTCTTCTTGTTTCTTGTCTGGAGATCGCTTTGGTTTTATTATAATGGAGCAAGTGCCTTGGCTCTTTATTTTTAACCATTTTTGTTCTGCTCTGACATAGCATTTGTTCTTTCCATAATGCGAACAACGGTTCTTTGCGTAGGTAAAATGCATTCGAGAAGAAAATGAAAGCAAAAACCGAAATGGACAATGCGGGGTCGCACTAAGAGATGTTTCCCATAAATTGTACCAACACATTTTAATTATTTACACAGAAAAAAAAGCTAGCAAAATATTGGGTTGTGTTAGCGCGAAGTTTACCTGGAAAATATGCGTTCGCCCCTTTATTTACCTCATTTGCTTTATAAATACACGGATATGAAACAGTAATCGATTTCGAATTGATGCGGTTTATAAATTATCTGTTAATTTATTCTGAAATGTTCAGATGGCTGAGTTTGTTTGCACTGACCGACAGTTATTGTGTGGACCAAAGGAATGTGTAAATACGAAAAAGAGGCGTTCCCATTTTTATAGCCTCGAATATGTAACCAGAATGAAATGGGGAGCAGCCTTCTCTTAAGTTGTCCGTATCTGACGAATTGAGCACAAGTCCATGCATATATTAAATAGCAAAATTCCTAACAAATATTCTGGGGAAGTCATTGGCCTTCATTCCTTTTTCAAGTAAGAGAATAACTCCACAGGATTTGAGTCTCTGCATAGCTGGTTATTTTAAAAAGCTAAAAACTAAGCCAATGTTTAAGTCATTCAACAAAAAAGGTGGAACTGAAATACTGAAACTGAAAATACAATTTGAATGCTGCAACGGCTGGTGTTCCTGACTGATATTCCGAGCTTTTGTTTTAAGTTTAATCTCATTCTTGCTTTTCAATGTACTTTTCTACAATGGAGCAGATCTGGTGCTTAGAATGGTGACAAAAGATAATCGAAGCCTTTATTATCTTCTGTAACCCTTTTAATTGAAGTCTGGAGACCGAAGAAGAATTTTAAAACAAAAACTAAAAAACAAGCTACTATTTTTAAGTGAAGAATCGGTCAAGAGCGATTCATTCTTAAGGAATGTAGATGAAAATCTACAACTTATTAATAGATTGTATTCTTTTGAGTTATAGAACTGTCCGATTCTCTCTCCCCCTCTTGGGGTAAGGGTAACCTTAACTTTACGCCAAATAAGAAAGTTAAAGAATCAAGTAATTGTTACTACAATTCTATTACCTTTTAATGGTTAAATTTTAAATTACAAAAATATATATTTATTAAATTGTAAAATGGGTTTCTTTTGTATTCAAAGTAAAAAGAAATCCCCTTTTTATCTCCACTCTCTTCTCGACTGTCTAATTTTTTATTTAGGATCGAGAAAATGTACATATTACAAAAGTATAAAAATGTTCAAGAAATCGGAATTGAGTCTTATTTATATTATGTATCTTTATGCATTATAGTACTCAAAAGACGACTAGCTTTGATGATATTGAAGATAATATGTCAAAATGTAAAGGGTGGCTCCCTATGAACCTACAGCATGCTTCAGAAAACAACAAGAAAATCCACTTTCAACTAGAAAACAAGGGGCGATGGGAACGTGAAATAAATCATATTGCCAACAAATTTGTAAACCATTCCCCAACACCTGACAGAGCGACATTAAGTTCATTACGCTTGAAAAGTCAAATGTAGAAGCGGTCGGAGCCAACGTCTGCAACACCTGTGATGCATTCGTTCAATTTTGGGTGAATGGAAAGGGCAAGAGGAGAGGTGCGCGAATCTATTTCGGATCCAAAGAGTACAGGCAACCATTTGAAAATGCCAAACTAGACACACACACACACACACACACACACATGCATTGGTACTATTATATAGTATGTGTTGCTGGCTGGTAAGAGTATAATAAAAATGCTGAGATGCCAAACAGTCGAGCAGTCGAACAGTCAAACAGTCGCACTGACGAGCCGAGAGACCGGCAAATGCTGCCAACCACGGAGCAGGCGAGCGAGCACACAAACGATCGGCATGGGGCAGTTTCTGAGGTTTTTGACACTGACTGGCTGCTGCCAACGCCGAACCGAAAAGTAAGAAGAAGAAGTAGAGATGGAAGCAGAACAACTTGGTGCTGCTCCATTAGAAATTCTGCGCAGTGGTCCTCCGGTGTACACCTCGGCAATGAATATGAATCGAACCGAGGGGGCTGAAACAAACACACATACACGCACATACATGTACTCGCAGGCACACAAAATATTTTCCCTTTTGGAAATTGTGTGTACAAGCAATGAGCTACGAGTACGCCACCGTGCCGAGCGGGACTAAAGAATAATAAAAACATTATTCCGATTTATTTTTAAACCGCACACACTTGTTCCAATCGGCAGCCCGCAACCAAGCGACCAACCAAAGGCATGCTCTCTCGCTCGCTCTCCTGCCCCGCCCGATCCTATCCTCGAGAAAACAGCTGCTCGCCGTCGAGACTGTGTCTGCCGCCGCTGCCTCCGGTTCTGATTCTACGTCAGCATCATCACCTCCTGAACGGCGAGGCCCCGAGAACAGCACACGGCCGCTCGATTTTCAAGATGTAAACTGTAAGTGGTATTTCGAAAATCGTTCAGTTCTTCTTGAGATTTCGAAGCGTTCGAGTGCGCGCGCCGGCAAAGCGAACCAAAACAGACTTTCAGCATAATACGAACGGTAAAGCAATTAGTGAGGATCCACCATATACGTACATACATATGTACATACATTTAGGTGAACATAGATACATGTGACTAAGTATATAGTATGTATCGGAGCAGCTGACGTCGGGCCATTTTTGTGATGAAATTCGTGGGAATCGTGTAGTAATAGCAGTAAAAGCAACAACACCAACAACAGACGCAGGAGAACTCACGAAAAGCGCAGGGAACGCGCGTGTGCGCCCATCGGTGTGATATATTATTGATCTCACATCGACATCGCCTGAATCACAATCTATATATAGTATATACCTCAGCAGGCAGCAACCGATCTTAGAAACAACTGAATCAACAACAGGTCCGCAAATTAGGGGCGAACGCCCAATACCACTACTCCAGAGTTTTGGAATCTCGCCGCTTCGATCTGAATTCCAATTCCGCTGGTGAGTACACAAAATCCATATTTTTCTTTAATTTAGACTGTGAACTTTTTCAAAAAATTTTCTCCCAAATTTTAATTTCCGAAAAAAATCAGATCGAACTAGTTATAAATAATTTTGAAAATCTTAAAATTTAAAATGTTAAAACTTGAACATTTCAATCCAATGAATCCATTTCAATGAACTGTACAACGAAGGCAGACAATCTACATAATACGTTCATACACTTGCATTAAATTGTAATTGTTAACTATGAAGGTTTTCAAACAACTATTTCAACAAAAATATTAAGAAATGAATTTCAAAACTTTTGCCTTTAATTATATTACAGACCTAGAAACATAGTATACTCATTTAATTTGAAATTTCACTACAATATTCAAAGATCTAGACCGTAATGTAAATATTGAATAATGGGTTTTAAGAATTGTTCACTTTCACAAACATGCGCATTGTTAGAATAAAAGTTAACCACAAATTCAAAATTTATGGACTAGTCAGTTCGAATTAATTTGAATATTGGTTACACAATAAGCTCACTACCTCTACCTTTGGGTAGGCACTTACAACGATCAGATCACCAGACAAATAGAAGACAAGATTTTGGCATTATAGGCTAAAAGATTTGCGTGTACGAAAAAACAAGGATGGATACTTACAAACATGACCACATTTTTGAAATTATCACCACAACCGACCACAATTGCTAAACGAATATTATTATTTCTTTGATATTTTGACATTGACATGCAAATATTTGTTCAGGGGATCGGCAAACTAACAGATACCCTAAGGCTTTGAATGAAAGAAATACCTTAATTCTGATTTCAAAACAGATCTGCACCTAACGCGGAAGTTCAACCTGCATGTCTATTTGAATATATTGAACACATTCTAACGTAAATAGAAATTATTCTGTGATTGTCTTCCATTTGTTTTGTAGTGTGAAAATGCGTCGTTATAACTGAAAACTGCGTAGATTGTCATAGAGAAGGAAAAATCAAAATTAATAACCACAAATAATATATGTACATAGGTGTGTAGATATACATACATGTGCACATACATATGTGTATTGCCGATCAATGTCATCATGCGACACAGACAACGAATATACACAGACAACACAATTAATTAGGAATAGAAAAAAAGCACGTAAATAAAATAATGTACAGGTAAAACGACGTGTCTATATCGAGGGTGTACAGTCAGACGGTTGATCATGATTACGCCATGCATATGGTAGAATATCCTTCCTGTCAGGAATCGAAAGAAAATTAACTCTACCGAACTGATATAAGAGGAGTAAAATAATAATTTCAAAATTTCACTAACAGCCTCTTCGATGAACAACAATTTGCAGTGGAAAAATGAATCGAATTCCAACAAATCAAGCACATATTCCCTAAACTCACGACAAAAAAGATTTTTGCTAATTCACTGGAAAAATAGATTTTATTTGTTATCGTGCCCAGATTGAAAGCCAAATCTGGTCAGAGAAACAAGAAACAGTAAACTAAAAAATAGTAAAAAGAAGAGCAAAAACTTAGTTCTAAATCATAGTTAATTAGATTACTTGAGAAGGAAAAAGAAGAAGAAAGGGAAATCGGCAACCCGCTGAGGGAAAATTTAATTGCCAGCTCCCGTTGCTTTTCGTTACAGCGATTGGCTTTGAATTGTCAATGCCTTTTACATTTTCATCTTTGAGCAAAAATGTCTGACTATCATAATAAAATATAAGTAAAGTAAATATCTTTTGTATCGAGAGAGAAACTTAGTTCTAATTCATAGTTAATTAGATTACTTGAGAAGGAAAACGAGAAAGAGAAACCGCCAACCCGCTGGGGGAAAATTTAATTGCCAGTCCCCAGTCCTTAAAGAATACAGCGATAAAAACATTTCTTGGCTTGGCCCATATAACCCTTTTTACTTGGTATTTTACATTTTCATCTTTGAGCAAAAATGTCTGACTATCATAATACAATATAAGTAAAGCCATATCTTTTGTATCGTTTTCATGGCACATTGTTAAATTGGTTGACATAAACAGTTTCCTGCCAAGAAGCGATGATTGAAAAGGGACACTGATTATACAAGTTTATATAAACAAAGAAACGGTCCATTTCGTTCAATCCAAACAAAGCTGATCCAACTCTATATCATACCAATTGGAAAGGCAGACCTTTGTATGTGCTTTACGTGGCATTGACTCTTGATTGCCTTGGCATGTACACGTACCCGTAAGGCGCCTGCAGTGCCATGGAAATGCCTTTTGTTTATTATTTTGCATTTTCAAGTTTGAACTAAAATGTAAACTATGAGCATTTCTACGTGCCGTGCGTTCAAAAATAGACAAAGCGAAGATCGGCGCATTGCGCCTGCAGCCACCATCGAAACCGCCACCACCGCCACCATCACCACCACCGATCGCCGGCGTTGGTGTGGTTGTAGCCAGCCAGTTGTTGCAGCGAGGCTGTTGCCGACGTCGATGGCGATGGCGATGCCATTAACATTTCATGTTTGTGTACATTAACAGGACTTTGAACTTTTCCCCGATGCTTTGGAATGCGTTTTCTTTTGCAGAATTTTGCCGTAAATATACAAAACTTTTCCATTTCCATTGTTCGTTGCATTACTCAGGCACAGCACCCGTGGTCTTTGCCAGCGCCTTCGTACCACACAACAAAAGACAAAGGAAATGCATGGAAAGTTTTCTTGCACGCAACGAAATCGTTAAATCAAACACAGACAAGGACTTTACGAATTGTCATTAAGACAGCATTTAATAGGTTACACTAATAACAACTTTTTGCTACCCACCTACTTACTTGAGAACTTTTTATCCTATTAATAGAGTGGCAGTTTGGAGCAATTCAAATTTTATTGACTATCAGTCATGCATAAGAATAAGTTGTGTCTTCTTTAATTCAATACATAATTGTATGGATTCTTATCAGGAAGACTTCACGAATTGATAGACCCTTCTCCTTCGTACTATAAGCATGTAAGGATCTTGGATAGTTTGAAAACTAAACTCAATATCAAGAAAATAGACCCACAATACAAGTTGGGAAACAATTTCATTCTTTTATTAATCCTGATATGTATAATAATCTAAAAACCAATCAATTTTATGTTTCCATTTTTGTCCCAAATCTCGCATATGGTTCAGTCCAGCGCACGGGTATTTTTGAATTCCCCTATTTATCTTAAGACATAATAAATTAAATGCGGTGCAGAAACTTTTTGCCGCCTCCCCTTCCCAACGCCGTGAGACACCAATTATCGTTACAGTTTTCCTGGTCTTTGAGATGCCATTTGCGATTACCAAGCGACGCTATACGAGTATGCTGCCTGCACGGGCCAACGAATAATTAATTAACGGCCTGTCACCGAAACATGCGACTTACGGGGCTGTGACATCGAAAATATTGCACACACATACTCGTACTTACATATAAGTAGTACATACATGTACATACATGTACGTATCTCTAAATCTACAAAGGCATTTGAATCTACACACGAGCCTGTATCCAAGGGGTCTAAACCGCAACAAATATTGGCTCTTATTAAAAACAAAATTTCCCACTTGTCAGCTGTTTGCGATTTGTTGTTGTTGTTGCTGCTATTGTCGGTGATGTTGATGTTTCTTAAGAAAAATATGAAAAATTTTAGCATAGAAATGTGTACACTTTGGCTGAAAATACATTTCGCTTTTCCGACTAACAGGTATGGAAAATTCGTGGCTAAAAAAATAACACACACGCCCTAGCTGCCAAAGACGAGACTGTACGACAGTGGACGTATAGGTGGGGATGGGAGAGCTTTGTTTAAAATAAATAAATGGGCCGCAAATTGCTTAGACGCAAATTATGTCTGCGTGTGTCGGCTGACCACCTACTGGCATTCATCACATGCGGCAATATTTGCGGTATTTATGACCCCATTTTCGATATATGAACACATGTACATACATATGTATATACTGGTAAGTATGTATATATGCATGTACCATATCCCTCGAAACGCGGGCAGGAAAAATTTGAAATATTAAAAACCACCTTTGACTTGATGGCGCACATAAAAGTTTTACGGCCGCAAACAACTTGATGCCCCCTCTGAAAATATCATTCGCTAATTTTGGGCTTCAATCGAAAACGAAAACACACCCGCACAACAACAACAGCGGCGAAAACAACAACAATTTGCAACAATTTGAAAGCGCGCAACAGGTTGCCCGATTCTGGTGCTGGCGCTTTTGTTTAGCAATGCTTAGCATTGGAAACCCACACGGCAGTCACGCGGCTGCTCGGAGCCAACAGATGAGAAACGGTGAATACGTAGAAAGGGAGGCGGGACACGGGACGCGGGACACGGAACGCGGGATACGGGGAACACAGCACGCGGAATGAGAAACAAAGCATATACAAACAAAGAGCTATGCAGTGCACATGACCTCCGCAATGGACCCCCCGCCCCCAATGTTGGGGCAATAAGCATTAAATGATTATTTAGGCGATTACGAAAAATAAAACGATAAATTAAGAGATAAACAAATTTAAGTGAAATCGGAAACATTAAACTGAATGAGGCAAAATCATTAACATACTTCAAATATGAAAACAGCTTTTTAGGTGCTTCTTTATAATTGTTTACCGAAATGGCAAAATTATTGATAAATCTTTACTCTTTTATTTGTATCCTTTTCGGTTATTTAAATAGATATTGTGGACATTTCATTATTTTAAAGCTGATCTACAAAATAAGACATGAAAGCACAATGAAATGTCGAATCAGGAAAAATGATTATAAATGCAAAATACCTGTCCTACCTGGAAGATTAAAGCACCCTGTAATACCTAATGTACTCAACTGTAGCAGAAACAGGGTTCGCTGTCCAAATACGAGTCATTAACATAAACAATTCTTAAGTTTCCAAAAAAAAGTTCTGAAAACAAGAGGAAAATCCGGTAACAGTTCAAAACCTCCTCGGCGTCTGAATCTAGTTTGGTAGACTGAATAAGTGAAATCCCCCTCTTCATTAAGATCATATAGACCAGAAGCCCCGGACTGGTCTCGCCCACAGATGAGTTCTTGAATTTGTGTTTCGACAAGATCCCAAATTTTTTACTAATAAATAAAATTCCATTAACTTTTGATAAGAGCTCCACCATTTGGGAAACTGATAATGTCCGTCTGTGTTACAAGCAAATATTTTAAAATATCATATAATACTTGTATAACTATACAAAGCTTTCTGAGATATAACTCCTTGGCATATGGGAGTAATATTAATGTGACCTACTTAATAATATACTATAATAATAATAATAATAATTACTATAATAATACGCGTATCTTCTGTACGAGTACATATATTGAACCGGTTGTTCCCAATCTGAATTCTCCTCCATCCGCGGCCAAAGGTGGTGGCAATTACGTGCGAGATTAATCAATGCCAAGAGAACATGCGAAAATTAAGCGAATTCATTTCGACATAAATTTATTACACAAACAGAAATGCAGCCAACAAGTGCGAGCGCAGCGCACGTTAACCAACTCGACTGACGTTAATCATACGCCACCGTGCCACTGAAAGCACATGCCCACTAATACTTGCAGGTCGATCGAGGATCGAGGAGGCGACAGGGACGAGAGTCACGACAACTTGTACGCAAAAGACGTCGTCTGCGTCTGTGATGGCATTCAACGTGGCCGCAATTTGCATGTTTTGGGTCTTGGGACTGCATCAGCTTTGTCCTTAATTATAAATTGATGAATTTTCAAATGCACAATTTACAGTGAATAATGAAATATATAGTATACACTGTGATGGGCATTTCGAAATATCGTATGCCCTGTAAGGCAATGGATTAGGCACCATCTATCTTGCAGTGATAAGGTCATAAGTCTCCATTTGGCAACAAATGGGACCAATAGGAGATTAAATTTTAGTTTAAAGAAATAAACTATGGTTTCTGCACGACCACTAGCAACTATTCACTTTTTTGTAGGTGAGACAAATCTGTTCTTCCATTCATTTAGGCAGAATTTGTCTCATTAAATTACTATTTCGTCTGCATCAAGACAAATATTTTTCAATACATATTTATTCTTATTTATTTTTGTTTAGCTGCTGATGTCGCCTTCATCGTCGTTGTTGTCGTGCGAATGACGCATTTTGCGCACATTTAGCAGGTTGTTTCACCTTTTATTCCAATACGTCACTCGATAGCAATAACAACAACAACAACAACAACGACGACGACGACGAAGCCCCACCGAGATCAACAATGTGGGCACAATTGGGCACACTTTATACTTTCTTTGACGCATTTGATTTCAATTCCCATTTTTCTTTATCTTTCTTTGCAGAAGACGTTTGGAGACCATGACAAAGACAAAGGATCAGCAAGCGACTCCCATACCCGAAGAGCTCTACAATCTCACACAGCTGGCCGAGGTGACTCTGGCTGCTGGCCATCTAAGTACGACCAACATCAAGAAAATCAAAGACTACATGAGCGGTCACCAGCCATCAGAATGTAAGGGCGAGGGTCCTGCCACGGATGCCACCGAAATGAGTGACACCGACGGAAAAGTTCGGCAGCGAGCCTCGACAGCCTTCTACTCCTCATCCGACGATGACTCCAACTACTACAGTCACAAAGTGTTCGATCGCAAGAAACTTCGGCGCTGCACCATCTCCGACTCCAATTCCTGCGCGAGCAGCAGCAGCAGCAGTTGTGTCGCACCCTCTTGCGGTGAGGAGCCCTCCGCAGTTGATCCAGCTGCCAAGTCAATGGATGGCCTTTTGGATGACGAGCACATTTGTCCAGAGTGCGGCAAAAAGTACTCGACATCTTCCAATTTGGCACGCCATAGACAAACCCATAGGTAATTAGAGCCACTTATTATATTTATACGAACAAGTCAAAAAACATGCGCCTCAATATCGAAAATAATACAACTTCCCACAATAGTTATATTAATAATCGATGTACCCTCATGGCCAGAATAATACGTGTGAGCATATTTTTTTCAAAAAACGCTTGGCTTTCATACAAGTATATGTATATTTTAATTTTCATCAAAGAAATTATTAGTTTTCAATATAAACATACTTCAGCGTCAAAACAAATAGTAAAATTATTTTTAAACTATAAAAAATAATTTATAAAATATATTTGTTTTCGGCTGGACAGAATAATAGGTGTGCCCAACAAAAATAGTAATAAATATTGCAATTTTGTTATTTATGGTCCCGTATTTTATGAACCGATTAGGACGCACCTAATGCCCTGAATATCCGCCATTATTCTTGATGATTGTCTCGATTCCTGCTGACATAAAGGATACCAACTTCTGACAAATCTTTACCAGGAACGTTATAACAAACTTTTTGAATATTTTCCCATAACTGCGTTTTGTTTTGGCAAATCATCTTTGAATTCCCTCGCTCAAGGTCTCCCCAAAGGTTCTCAATGGGATTGAGGTCTGGGGACTGACTTGGCCATCCAAGATCTTCTACAGTATGAGTTTGAAAAAATCGCGATGAGTGTTTATGATCATTGTTCTGATGATATTTCCACAAAAGATACATATTGTCCTCGACATATGGTAGCATTACTATTTCCAGCAAAACCTTACACAAGAATCTATCCATTTCCGCATTTTTGATAAAAACTAAAATATTTTTGCTCACATCTATTATTCTTCTGGCCATAATTGTATATACTATATAGTATAGTTATAGCAGATCTATCTTATTATTCTCAGAATAAGGAATAAACGAACTTAGAAACATTCTCAATATTTTAACGTGCCCACAAAAGAGAATAGTTCTCTTGGAATAACTCTTTCCTAATAACAAGTCCACACTTTGATTTTCAATTTTCACAGGTCAATTATGGACAAAAAGGCACGCCATTGTCCTTACTGCGAGAAGGTTTACGTGTCCATGCCGGCCTTCTCGATGCACGTGCGCACCCACAACCAAGGATGCGAGTGTCAATTCTGTGGCAAGTGCTTCTCCCGCCCCTGGCTGCTCCAAGGCCACATTCGAACACACACCGGCGAGAAACCCTTCAGGTGTAGCGTCTGCGATAAGGCCTTTGCCGATAAGTCCAATCTGCGTGCCCACATCCAGACGCACTCCAACACGAAGCCGCACATCTGCGCCCGCTGTGGCAAGTCGTTTGCCCTCAAGTCCTATCTGTACAAGCACGAGGAGTCGTCCTGCATGAAGAATCGCAGCGGAGAGCGCGAAGCTCGCACTGCAGTACGTCCAGCCCCTTCATCACCCAAACGCCAAGGCGAACAACAGCGCGAGATGGGCCATGGAGCTAACCCTAGTGCCAACGTAAGTCCAGACTCAGCGAAATCAACGCTGGCAAATAAACTGCTGCAGAAGGAGAAGGAGCGCCGGCAAGCTGCCATCACATATAGCTATACACACAGTTCGAATACGGAGCTTGCACAGCCATATACGAGTACAATGGTCAGGACGCCCATGTCGCAGGAGGAGTTCGAACGCTTTAAGCGTATCAGCGTCATTCAACCCACTGTGCTGCCGCATCCGAACGCTGTCTATCAGGATCACCCCCATCACCACCACCCCCACCTACCCCTGCCCCCCTACCAACACTATCCAGCGAGCCCACCAGCTCCAACGTTGACCAGCACAACCGCCACTCAGGAGCAACCGGTAGACTTTTCGCCAAAGAACAACTTTACGCACTCGGCCAAAACCAGCCCATTCGAACTGACTGGCAACTATGCCATGGTCGCATAGAGACTGTAAAAGACATGGGACACCTCGAGATGCTCCCTCACCTCCCTCCCGCACATTGAAATTCAGTTTTGAAGCGAGTGGAACGAAAGCGAGCACAATCCAGACCCATTACATATATACTCGTAGTGTACTCTTTATATACACAAAATATCCGGCAAACTTTCTTTTCGTTCGTCTTAGGAGCTTATTGTAGTAAACAAATATGTGATAAATATGTAAAAGCACAAATTACCGCTAGAATAGTCGATTCCATAACGAAAATATGTAGTTCATAGGAGCTATTGTATATCTTGCCCGATACTTATACTGTTACGTACTGATGCCGATTGATAAATAGATTCAGAATTAGCACTCATATAGTTATAACGAAGATTTAGAGACTTGCAAAATGCTACCAGTATTTTTTTTAGCACTAAAGAGCGTTCTTTTTTCTGTCTAAGTCGCCAAACCCCACAGGCATCAATATACACGTAGATATACATATACTATATTTTATCCAATGTCTGTTGACTTGAAAATAGTTTGTAGGGCCTCGAATTTACAAGCAATATATTTTAATTTTTAAATTATATTCTGTTCGTTTTAAGGCATCACGATTTTCAACACGAAAATCGAGCGAGAGATTCTCTAGTCTTTATCATTAAAATTGACGTCTCCGGACATCGCGAGGAAAACCGAATTCGAACCCGAACCAGAAATTTGGACGTGAGATTCCGGACCTCGCGTGTGGTGCGTTATTTTAAGCACTAAATGGCCGCATGTGGTGCAATAATTGACATAATTTTTACATCTACACGTATATTTGTATGTATGTACTCGTATGTCTATACATTATACTTATGTATTGTATCTTATATGTTGGACAAATCGCTATATTATATTTTTTGTTCAATTTTACAACTTTACGGCAACTTATTTCAATTAGTTTAGTATATAATACGACACTTTTATTTTGTAGAAGCACACTGCATTTTGTATATTTTAATATTCTCTGTACACGCAAACAAGCGACAGCAGCCTACAGCTAAACACACCAAAGATATTTAGTTATAGTATATGTGTGTATATTTATTCGAATTAAACGAGAGATCCACCGATCCCTTCAAATGAACTTGGCTTTCTGACTGCATTTAAATCAAGGGGCTTTGATCTAATTTACATAATTACTCGTATTTATAAACAAGAACCATACAATTAAACGCATCGAATTCCTTTCACAAGTAAACGCTATCAAGATTGGTATACCCAACCTTTATTTTGTGACTTTTTTCTCCTTCATGCCATACAAGAAATAACTTTTGTACAGATTCCCATAACTGGTCGACATTTCGGAACCTTTCCGTACCAATTCAACGGCTTAACTCTCCCCAAAGGCTTTCAATCAGGCCTATCACGATCACTTGTTTGTCGTTGAGCCAATCTTAGATTCGCTTTGGGTTGTGCTGCGGTTGATTATCTTATTGAAAAATATACATATCTTGGATGAATATTTTAGTCAGCATACACTCTCCAACGATGAGGCTTCTTTAAAACGCTGTTCAATGCTCCGAATGGTAAAACGGTTTCTCTCCATCATTTCTCTACTCTCAGCATATGATTTGCTCTGATTATGCAAATACAAAATTATTTTCCGCTGAGGTTCTGTGGTTTCCTTTTGTTTGTCGCTCATTTTGTTTACATTTTACAGATTTTGCTTATAATAAAGGCACTGAGTGGTTTTCAGCTTGAACATTTACAACCATGTCATTCCGAATATAAAGATAACGGGATTTTTAAAGAAAAAAGTTGCCAGATTGATGAAATTTTGACAAAATCGTTTATTATTACCCAAATGTGCCAATAATTATACCCTGTACCCAAAGGTTACAATATCCGTATACCAACTAATTCATTATAGTTCATAGTTATAGCCATATAACCAGGCCCAATGCACACATACATACATATGTACAAGTGCACCAACACGAAGAGACAGGATTCTGATGTAAATGCAAATGTATGTATGCCTGTATGGAATATTTCATATTTAATTTAATTAATAAATTAAATTTTTTTAATATTTTTTTTTTGTGGGGTGGTACAGGGTATTTAAGAGTTGAGCCTGCTCGACTTTAGCATTCCTATCTTGTTTTGTTCAGAGGAAATCGGCCGTTTTTATACTCTATACATGAAATGTACAAGAGTATATTAGGTTTGCACGAGCTGAAAAATGTAACAGACAGAAGGAGGCGTGGCAGACCCCTGAAAGTATATACAACTATATACATATATTCTCTATCAGCGTGACGAGTCAATCTAGCCCTGTCCGTCTGTCCGTATGAACACCTGGATCTCAGAGACTACAAGAACTAGAGACACCAAATTTTGCACAGGGATGCCTTATGTGTGTACGCTGTGCAAGTTTGCTTTATTTTTTTGATCGGGACACTCGACTTTAGCTTCCCCAATAGTTTTATATTTTTTTTCATTTTCTTAAATTAATGGAAAAATATACAAGAATGAAATAAAGTTAATTTAGTGGGTAATTGATCAAGTATATGAACAAAATTTGTTTTATTTAAATATCATCATATTTCATGGAGAAAAACTGTGCGAAAGTCAGACATGCCAACTGTGCCAATAATTATGTTCGTCACTGTATATTCTCCCATTCTCGCCTTGAAGTAAATACCTTTCCCAGTACAATGCTTATTTCGGTCAATCTTAACAACAAATACAAATAATCCATTGAAAGAATAGTGATCTCATTCCGAATAACTCTTATAAAACTCCAGATTAATTATTATATTAATAGATTTTATATAGATTTTACGATCAAATAAGACAGGCGTGGGAAAGGAGAGTGCAAGTATGTACGTTTTATTTCAAAACACCCTCTCTCATTTAACATTAAGCAATTTTAATTTAATAGGGCTGTTTCTAAACAAAATAAATTAGATCGATTATTCTTAATCAAAGCACGGGAACTGAAACAATTATAATTTTAAAGTGCTCAACGCCTAAGAAACACGGATAACATTCTGATACATATGTAAGTAGACCTAATTCTGTTTTTACGCGGTCTTTTTTTATTATTATTATGATTTGACACGAGTTGAAAATTAAAAATCGTATATACTTCATTCCATTTGGCACGATTCGAAACACCCTTTTTTCACACGACTTTCTGGAACCAATCTACCGTGTAAAAACAGAATTAGGTGTATAGAAGTACATATGTATATGTATGTACTACATACTATGTAGTATGTAGATGTCTTCAATTGAAGTCCTTTATGTTAATTCCGAGCACTCCGGTGTCTTTTCTCTGAGCCTCGCATACGTTTAACCGATCAAAATTAAAATGTTTGGGTTTCTGATAAATTCCCTAAGAATGAACAAATTTTGAGTAAAATGTTTAAAATGACAATCACAAAAATTGGTTTATGTATCTTCGGAATTGTGGGTAGTATTGAACCAATTTTGAAGCAGGGTAGGACGGAAAAAATCAATAATAAATGAATACAATACAATTCGAAGACCTATTCTAAATTCTAGGATTTCAGCCGGAGTTACTGGCGAACATATTTTGCCCAAATCGTCTCAAGATGTTGATTAAAAATACATACTACTTATATACACATGAGGTTTGATATAGTACATATGTACATTAGTATTAACATATTTCTTCAGTTGTTATATGACCATTATTTATTTCTTTATGATTTACTATACTTAATAAAAAAAATTATTTTATGTTCATTAAATCACAAATTCATACATTTTTTGATCGAGCCACGTTTTTGAAATAGCAGTACTATTATTTTGAGCTGTATATGCTGTATATGCATTGCACATTATTATTAATATGGAATCCAAGCCGTGCTTTTCTTAAACAATGTTAAATGAACTTTTAATTAATTTTAAAACATAAAAACGCATCAACAAATACATATGAACGACTTATAATTTTTTCATCCAAAGCGATTTTTTCGTTCAGGGCTTTGTTAGTGTTGTGTGAGTTCGTCTGATACGTTGGGGTCATGCTATATATGTATGTATATATGATTGTTTTTTTGTGTTACCAATATACCAGCGCCAAATAAGGTAAATAGGAACATTACATATGGTGAAAAGAGCTCGCTCTAGGCATCCTGCAACTTACGTGGGGCAGTTAGGGGAGTGGATGGAGATGTGGCGGCAGTGGGTGGAGTGGAGGCGATTCCATCACTAACCTTAGCATCCGAAGCTGTGAGCGAAAATTGCGACTTTGAAGTTACGCCCAGTGACAGGCTAACGTCACCCACTTTCTCGACGGCAGTCGGCTTCTTAACGCCGCCACATCGTACGGTAAGGTCCTCATAGGTCTTGTTGTGTAGGAAACAAACCAATACAGCGGTCATGTTGTCGCCCCCTATGCCGCCCATGTGGCCATCCGGTGCCAGGCAGTTATTCATAATCTCCTCGCAGATCAACTCGGGAGACATGCCGGCGCCAATACGCTTCCGCACGAACTGAGCCGCTTCGGAACTGCTCATTACATCCCAGATGCCATCACAAGCCAGGAATATGAACTCCCAATCCTCGGTGATGTCTCGCACCTCCACGTCCGGATAGGCTGTCACTATCTGCTCCTCCGGCTTCTTGGCGTTGTTTCGCTTGTACATGAAATCGCCGAGAGCGCGTGACAATGCCAAATTGCCGTTGACTCGGTTGAATTCGACCCAGCCTCCGCCAGCCACAATGCGTTTAGCCTCGGCCTCATCGTTGGGCTTATGATCCACAGACAGCGCATGTACGGTGCCAGCAACGCAGGCGATGGCTCGAGAATCACCCGCATTGGCACAATACAAGCGATTGTTCTTGATGAGAACCACCACAGCTGTAGATCCGGCCATCTGCTCTCCCCAAGACCCGTTGTGTAACATCTCATGATCAAAGTCCAGGAAAGCCTTCTTTAGGGCCAGCTCAGGGTTCTCCAAATACTCCGCTCTCTTTGTGACAAACTTGTGGAGATGCTTTCCCGCGTATTTGGCCACTGCCGAGCCACCGTGGCCGTCGTAGACACCAAAGAACGCGGCACTGGGATCCTCGGGCAAAGCCAAAATATGAGTGTGGCAGTCTTCCATTTCAACTCGCCAGCCTTGCATGCAACTAGAGCCGACACGAAAGAACGAATTCTGGCAGCTTGCCGAATCCTTTACGGTCATGGGCTCGGACAAGGTTTGACCCATTGATGCCTGCAACAACGAAAAAACACACTCGGATTTACAATTTTGTTTAAAAACAATGTCCAAATGGTACGTACTTTCCTCAAATATAAATATTTCAAATAAAAATTCCGCTGTAGCTTATGTTTTTGAATATATTTATGTTTTACGGTGACAACGAACGTGCACGGCCACAGATTTTGAATTTTGCAGACTGACTTTACATTGACTACTGTGCTTCAAACTAAAGTCGTGATGCTCCTCCCTAACCAAGTAAGTTTTGTCCAATTACAAACATATCTCCTTACAAAAGTATGTATTGAGCGTTGTGGTAGTAGTAGAATTCAGAATCGAGCATGATTTTGAAAATTGGCTTTACGGTTGAACGTAACAAACGAAATTTCGGCACTTTTAGGAACTCGGAGTGGTGGGTTTAAGTGCGCGGGCGATATTCGTATATGGGTATCGATACCAATTTCACGAAAATACTTTTCATGTTCGTTAACTGTGCTTTCATTCAAGCAACACGGAAATCAGCTGTTTTAAAGCATGCGGACCAAACAACCTGCATCATTTCCATTTAGGTTCGTTAATGCTGGGCCGGCTAAATAATATATACATATGTGTAACTATTTTACATCCAGAAAACAAACATGCCACAAAACATTTAAGCAATTTATCGTTGATGAATAAAAATGGGGTGCGTACGATAAATAAATATTACCAATCGGTTGCCTCAAATTTAAATGATTGGTAAAAGCGTAACCCATGACAATATAGTACATTTGGCTGCCAAGCAATATACCAAGTGCGCCTGAAACAAGTAATTTTAACCAACAATGATAGGCAAACAATTCGAATAACTTTAAAGAGAACACATTTGCGGAACACTAAATAAACGCGGGGTATGTTATCTATTTCCAAATGAAGCCAAAAATGGCGAACTTTACAAAACTACAGCTAAGTTTTGATTTAGTGTTTTTATTTATTACCATAACGAACTAAATATAGCGCTCACAACTAAAACAGGCGCCTTGACAAGTCCTCTTTAGCCTTACTGGTCCCGTCCACTGTCTGTGTGACTTCTATGGAGTTAATCCGGATCATTGTATTGGGAGAGCGCTGGAAGTTAATGCGCATGTACTGCTTCCTGCGTTTCTTCTTAAAATGTGTTTTCGTGTGGGTCAACGTTTTCTCAATGACTGTTGCCTTGACCGTCACCAAGCCCGGCTCCAAAATAGGTCGTCCAACTATTGTAAAATCCCGTGCCCCAGCCAATAGCACTTTATCCAGGCTTATCTCATCTCCTATAGTCGGCGGCCAGTACCCTTCCACTAGTATTATGTCGCCGGGTGTAATTTTAAATTGCTTGCCACACAAGTGCACAACAGCAAAGAGTCTACCTTGCTCAGCTTTTGCCACTTGTTGGTTGATTCTGTCACATATCAACTGACATTCCTTCTGCTGATCCTTTGTTATAGCAGCTACATCAACGACAGGTGCTGGTTTATTTTGCTGATGCATGCCGGGGGAAAGGCTTAACGCGCGCATTGCACCTGCAAATCAAAGTAAGAGTCCAGCAAGGTTATGTCATCAATATTCTCGTGTTTAATGTTGCTCTCAACAAACCTGTCAATGTGGTCCGTTGTGTCGTGTGGCGTAGGACATGGCGCACACTTTGCACCAAAAACGACATTGTAAATATTTCTTTCAATATTTCAGCTTTTTTATTGATAGAGCCGCCCGTGGATGTTTTTACATTAAAGTACCCGGCCACAGCAAGAAAAACAACGCCGTCGCCAAATCAGCTGGCGTTGATACATAAGTCAGGCATCTCTACAGTATTGAGTAGTATCGTTTCTACGCACCATTTAAAACATATTGGCATCCCTGCACTCTGAGTTCATTTGGCGTCGCATTTTAATTGGTGTTTGAATTCAGCGGGTTTTTCAACAAACCGAAAAATCGAACTTTAGGTTTAAACTCAACAATAAACTAATAGCATGGACCTATTCAGCGATCCATCCCTAGAGCGCCATTTTACTGGCCACACTAATGCAATAACCCAGCTACGTTTTAGCCCAGACAGCTCTCAAATCGCTACAAGCTCTCTGGACCATCATGTTATTTTGTGGAACTTGAAGCAAGCGGCACGATGCATTCGCTTCTCCTCGCACACCGGACCAGTCCATGGAGTAAGCTGGTCTCCCAAGGGTAACCTAATTGCCTCTGCTAGCCAAGATCGGACAGTTAAGGTAAAAATAAACTGATAAGTATGTGCGAAAATATATAACAATTATGTGTGGCAGGTGTGGGAGCCCAAAGTGCGTGGCATGTCTGGTGAATTCTTGGCACATGGCAAACCCGTGCGTAGTGTGGACTTCGATGCGACCGGGCAGTTCGTTGTAACTGCTTCCGATGACAAATCGTGCAAATTATGGCGCGTCTCACGCCGACAGTTCATCACATCCTTTGCGAAACAAAATAATTGGGTGCGTGCTGCCAAATTTAGCCCAAATGGTGAACTTGTAGCTTCGGTAAGCGATGACAAGTCACTGCGCATCTATGACGTAAAGTCGGGCGAGTGTGTGCGTTGTTTCACAATGCAGCAAGCCCCGCCAAGGCAGCTTGCCTGGCATCCGATGGGCAACATGGTGGCAGTGGCCCTCGGCTGCAACCGCATCAAGATCTTTGATGTGGGCGGCTCACAGATACTACAACTATACTTGGTACATTCTGCTCCCGTGAATGATGTGGCCTTCCATCCAAGTGGCAATTTTCTGATCAGTGGAAGTGACGACAAGACCATACGTATTTTGGATTTGTTAGAGGGCAGACCCATCTATACGCTGACGGGACATACGGATGCAGTGAACGCGGTGGCCTTTACACAGGATGGCTTAAAGTTTGCTTCGGCAGGCGGTGATCGTCAGGTTAGTATCATGAGGGGTGCATAATCGGTCAATCTGATACTGATAATCTGATATTACAGCTTCTCATTTGGCAATCCAATCTGCACACCTATGATGCGTCACAATTCGAAGCCAAGGCGACATCTTGTTGCGACACCAGTGGTACTTTTTCTGCGGAGCCAAGCCGCTCCGGCTCGGCTACTTCAAATGATCTAAGCATTCGCATCGATCCACGAGAGTCTATGGCCTACCAGGCACTAGACGAAAACTTCCAGGTGCTTAACAGCGAACACATTAAACAAGAAACACAATGTGCCACAAAGATGGCAACGACACCGGATAAATCACCCAACATGAAAATTAAATGCAAAAAATTTTGTAATTAGCCGGAGTTAAAAGAACAGTCTGATGTACCACTTTAGCCTCCCACAGATGCTGGATGTGTCGCTCGATTCTGTTTCAGAATGCTGTTCAACGCATGACCAGCTTGCCGAGCTAAGCACCCAGGTGGCACAGCTAGACAAACGTATCCGACGCTTAGAACAACTGTACTTTAGATGAACATTTGAGCAGGTAGAGATTTTGTGAACGGTTATTTGAATATAAATATGTTTTATGTTTATTATTTTCAATTGATTAGTATATTATTAAAATTTAATACATTTGCATTATTAAATTTCGCAAAACTAAATAAATTTGTTTTAATTTATAACATTGGGCTAAACTTTATACAAAGGAAAAAGTATCTACTAACGAATCCGATGAATCTGATAACTTACATATTTACATCTTACAGTTGACCTATCACAATTAAGTTCCATATGAAGACGGCCTAACTCGATGAAATTGTTATTTAAGGGATTTATGGAAAATCACTAATAACGGTAAAGTTCACCAGAAGAAAGAATCACAAATTTGTACTTTTTTAGAACTTGGGAAAATATATGTAAATACCAAGTTTGGTTATTCTAAACTGGTATACCCTATTATATTTTGTTTACAGGATGTACAGTTACATATGTATCAGGTCAAAGTTTTAAAAATCGGTTCTTGTTTTGACCTTTTAAATAAACTAAGTATGCGTACATTTATATGTGCGCACAGCGACCATAAGAACTAAGGGCGCAGTCTTTAAGGTATTTCATTAAATAATATTTTTAGTCATCTTTTCATATGGTTTCAAACCATAAATTTGGTTATAATTGCTCCCATTATTATTGCTCTTGTCAAGTATTCAACAGTGTTAAATTGTTTTCAATTCAATTAGAGTGTGGGGACCAAGTTATTTAATCCATTACCTCCATGGATTTTTCAGATAACCAAGACATAGTTTCGAATGGTTACTGTTTATACCACTATTTAGCAACGCGTTCTACTATGTCTTTGAATGTTTCTCAGTTCATACTTTTTTGCCATATCCCTTTTTAGTTCGTTATTGTGCAACTTAGAAATTTTTAGAGGAAAATCTGGAGAACGCTGTCACGATCAATTGTCGGAGTTTGCTTCGGATGGACAAGTATACCAAGTATGTGTAGGTGTGTGTATTTACAGCCGGTATGGTCGCAATTTTTATTTTAATGCCTTGATTTTGCCAACTATATCAAAATGGCGTTCGTACCCCGAGTCGGCAAACTACAGCTATCATTGCTTGCCTGTCAAATACAAGATGACGTCGGAGACATATGGGCGGGATTATCGGGTGGGTGTTTGACGCAGTCCGCAAAGGATAGCAATAAACACTAGTGTGCGCACTTGTAAGTGAAAGACACCCTTCTTTTTGCTGAGTTACTAAAAAAAAGTAAAATTTTAAACATAGTTGGGATATTATTATTTTAATGATTATTTTTTGATCTTTTGGCAGCAAAATAAATTGATTTTCAGGAGCTCCGATCCGCGATAGGCGAACATTCAGTTGGTCATGAACACACAATCCTTACTAATTCGAAGGTTTAACAAGTTCCAATTATTAAAACGCGAGAGATGGTTTTTTTTTTACCGGAAATTGAAGCCGTTTAAATGGGATTGACACATTAGTTGAGACCATCGGTATCCTCGATATACAAGTATGAGTAATTTGACCAGTCCCTTAATAAGCAGCCTCGTCCCATTGCACATTCTCCGAGATCTTTAAATTCACAAAAGCATGTTTGGAATTCCGATTTTTAGCTTCAATTTAATTTAATTTAATTTAAAAATTCCTGTGGGGAATGTACTGTGTCTTCGATATTAGTCACGGTGTCGATCGATTTGATGATTTTATTTAGCTGTGGATTTTTGAATAATATTGCTTTAATACTTAAAGCCACATAATGTTTCGTGGATGATTCTGAACTTGCAGCATACTGTTCAGAAATGTTTTAGGTCATTTTTGTTCACCTTGAGTTATATTATTGGCGTTTTAGTAGGATTCCTATATTTTTTGCATAAATATCATTTAGCCTATGATAACCGGGGACAGTGTAGCTTTCCAGCAGTTCCATTTCAGTTCTAATAAACAAACAAATCTTTCCTCTTTATAATATTAGTATTGATAAGTAAATTTATCAAGATGTTTTCAATTGTCAACCGAAGGGAAAAGTCATCAGTACAGCTTTGTGTACAACAAAGCAAGAACACACCTACCATAAATAGTTTACTGATAGATAACTAATTAAATTTTGAATCAATTTCACCGGAGATTTTGACTAATTTTGATCGAGTTATGCAGTTTTTAGGACGCATCTTTTGAACTTACGTACTTTGACTGACCATTCTTCTAAAAAAATTTATCACCACCATAAACTTGGTTAATCAATTCGATAAAGAGATCTACCAAAACAAACCGCCTTTTGTAAGGGATGTACCCTTTCGCGCTATTCCGAAAGTCCTCTTTAATTAAGTTGATAATCGTGCAATGGGATAGGCAATAAATGAGTGAAAACCGTACTCCCCCTTCAACTTGGATGGGTTTTGAAATAAGACACACATTTTATTCATTTGATTATTATTTTTTGCATTTGGTTTCTTCTTCTTTAATAGTTGTTATTTTGATAGCGTTCGTTTCAATATATGTACATATAAGTTTATACACATAGACGTATGCATGTATGTATATATCCGTGTTCATTTAATACATAGACATTTATCTGTATGTGTTTGTGTTTTTTTGTCAATAACTTATCCTTTTAGGCATATGTATGTGTCTATTAAATATTCTCGCTTATGCATTTTTGTTCGATTTTTGTGTGAGTGTGTGTGTACGTGTACGTGTGAGTTATGCTATTATCGGCGCCATAGCGTTCTCTACATGCAATTACAGTTAAATTTGTATATATGTATGTACTCTTTAAAGTGTAAAGACACTAAATTTCACAATGTTTGTTTGTTCTTCTATTGACACTACAAGGACTCTCTCATCTAGAGAGATAGAGAGATGAGGGCTCTCTGTGCCAAAGTTTGTCAATCCTATAACTTCTAGGCTACAAACGTTTTGGGGTCGGATCCCAACTGGGATACATTACCGATGCACAAGTAAAAATTTGTTTATTATATTACGGAAATTTTCATTTTTTTTAATGAAAATGTTAGTTATTATTTATGTCTTTTTGTTTTGTTTTTTTATAAAATCTCTAAACAGCCATAAAGTCGAAAGTTCTGAATCATATACACACATATATGGTATTACACAAATACCTATGCGTGTAAACTTAAAAGTCATTTTAGTTTATAAAACGGATCTTCCCTGTTATGATCTGCCTGGGATATTTTTGGAGTGCTTTCTGCAGACAATTTGGAGGATTATCAGACATACTATATATGTACATACATATATAAATGTATATACGATTCACTGTTTCTTTGTTACTTATATAGTAAATAATATATATTTACTCCTGGTTGCATTTTGATTTTCATACTAACTGCTAAGAGTTTTCTAAGAACTATTCTCCATTCTGGAACAGTGACAGCTATCGTTTAAACGTTCATTTACATTCCTTACAGTGTAGAGCGCTAAATGTATCGGTGTGCTTTGTTTTTGATATAAGTACTTCCTTTAATTATTATTTAAATACACTTGAAAAGGACACCAAGTAAAAACATTCAGTACACGTACATAGTTTATACAAAAGTGATTAGTAGTAGTACATAGATTTTAGATGAGTTGACTTGCTCGTTCTCTCTTTGACGGCGGCGTGCCAATCCTCATTTGGATGGACATACCAGGATGCATGTGCAGGTATATGTATATACGAGTATTATAAACGCATTACCCTGCCCCAATATTTTGTTGCAGGTCGCGATATGTCTCGTAAATAATCGAAAGCATTTCATCGGGGGATTACAAAAATGTACAAGTTGGTTCGCGAGTTCGCCCCAATTGCTCGGCAATTCGTTGTCTAACCCAGGGATTTCAAAAGCTATGCAATTCTTCAAATTGTAGTTTTCAATTTTTCCACTAAATATAGTATGTTTTGCAGTGCTTTTGATTTATATGTTTTATGTATGTATATGTGTACATATGTATACTTGCCGTATACATGAATATGTAAGTAAATAGGTATGTTAATTAAAGAAGCCTAGCGGTTATGCGAATTTGTATGTTTGTATTTTATAATTTTAGGTATACATATGTATGCATGCTGTACCAAAAGAGAAACATTGATAAATGACATTAATGGGTCAATACATACATACTACATATATAGTATGTGTTTATATATATACTCGTAAATATGCCTTGGTGCCCAAATAATTCTTCCACATTTCATATATGTATGTCTTTAAGCATAAACATTTATATATGTATGTGTGTGTGTGCGACAGTTAACTCGCGCTTTGATTATCTGTCTTTTAAAAACATTACTTTTTGGGAGGGATATTCAATACAATTATATACTCGTTCATACATACATATAGTATACTTGTATGTAACGTAGGTGTGCACCTACGAACGTACACACCATGTGGGAAATTGCACAGATTGTCTGCAGGAAATCGATCGGATCATAATTGTACCTCAAATATGTGTATGTGCTTGAAAAGTAAAAAGGTTAACTATAATGGAACAAGCCCAACTCTTCAATACCCTGTACCCAATTGGCAAATTAGTTTTAAGTCAAACCTATTTCCAATTAACCCCAACTTGTTTAATTAGCCAAAAGATTGAATTAAATAATATCTTATGATAAGGTTTCTATGATTTATGTTAAATATGTTTCTTCAAAATATAAAATTTTGTGAATTTAAAGTATACGTTAAAAGTGTAAATATTTGAAGAAAAAATTGCATACTTCAATAAATTTTGCTCAAATTAAAATTATATAGTTTGATGATATTAAGAAATAACGTCGCCAGTCACTTGATAGGCAAAATTCATAATATCATTGAAAGTCGTACAAAAATATATAAAAAAAAGTAAGCAAAGCAACTAAACGATTTCCCTATGCCTCTCCTGTTTTTTGACAATCATAAAAAATGGGCCTATAGTGTTTCCTATAAGTGGATCATGAATATGCATACGAGAGCTAAAGCCTCAGCCAATATACTTTTAAGTGCCTTTGGTACAGGGTATAGTCAATAGAAAACTTATCTCCGGATACTTGCGGACTTCTTTTATTAAATTTGATTGGCCGGCATTGGAAAACGGTTTCAATCTTAAATCTGTGCGAATTGTTCACCACCAAAATAGCTTTACTT